CATAACGAGTGACCAAACTATACACAATAATTCGTCGCTTTCTTTTTGAACTCGTCGATATGATATCACTGGATAGAAATTGTCACTAAGAAGTAATAAATTTATTATTTGTTTTGCCTTATATTTGGGTTATATTCAAATATACTTAAAACTGAGAAAATATTGCAATTTTGAGACAAAAAATTCTCGAACTTCTTGCGTGGCACGTCACTCCAGCGCAAGAAGTTAAAAATTTGTTTCGAACGCGGTAGCAATTCTTGTTAACGTTATTTAGCTTAATAGCTGTTAATGATCGACGACACGACATCAGAACTGACCTGATTACAGAAGTAGGCACCCATGATTCGACTCTGCTGGCCAACGAGTGGAAATAAAGAATTCTATCGCCGTTGCGAACGGGTCCTAAGGCAAGACCGAGGATCCCATCCATCAGGTCAAACGTGTCGCCATTGATGTTAAACGTGCCGTACGGCGGATAAGGATAAAACAGGTTGTTGCTGATCCTCCAGGATCTCGAATTATAAAAATCGTAAACGATCAACGCGAATCCTGTCACATCGGCGATGTAGGCGAACGTGTTCTTGCATTTATTATCTCCGTTGTCTCGAATGTCCACGACCACCGTGACGAACAGAGAGTCCTCTTTGAACTGATCTCGAGGAAATCTGTGCGTGGTGATCAGTCGATTCTCGCGGAGAGAAAACACGAGAAGCTTCGGTGGGCATACTTGTTTCTCTTCTAGTTTTCCGGTGTCAAGGACCCATAGCCGGTCGCATTCATCTATCTATGAATACAATATAATAATTATCTATAGAATTATGGTAATAATAATCCAAGGAATGATAATATAATAATTTCTCCGAGTAAAGGATATTTTGCAACTCCAGAGGATTTACAGTGATCCCATTAATATTTCGACATTAATTATTGAAACTGTAATTTTTGTTAAAAGGAAATTGTAACAATAATAAATTTAGACTTATTTTGAAGCTCGAAGACTTATTTTGCTTTCAAGGTGCGTTGTTCACTTTATTCTAACTAATAACATGTTTTCAGACTGTGTAAAAAGATGGTGAAGACACCTTTCCTCTAGAAAATTCTATAAACTGTCGATGAAGTTGAATAATCACCTCGAAATTTACTGTAGAATTCTTTTCCCCCGCCAATTTATTAAAGTTTGAAGCGAAACAAATTGAATGGCGAAAATGTTACGATTTCTTCAATTGTCATCCCGATATTTAATGTTCAATAAAATGACGAAGAAGAGCCATACGTTCGCAAAGGGAAGACTTCAATCTTCAAATCAATCATGGATTCGCGAAAAAAATTCTTACACGCTGCGAAAATTTGTAACACTTTCGAGAAGAAAAGTATCTTTATTCATTCTTTTCTTTGTAAAATTATAATATTATGAATAATAATATTTATATTACAGTAATTCAATATTTAATGTTAATGGAAGTCATTGTATATGGGGGTAATTCTAACTGAAAGAAGTAAAATTGATCCACTTTTCTGCAGGCTTACTTTTTTTTTTGTAGATGCAACGATGTATTGAAAAAAAAAAAAAAA